TTAATTGTATACAGGGTATAAAATAAGGTTGAAAATAAGGTCCCACAAGCTGGGACAAGCTTATTAATTGTAATTGTAATTTTAATTGTATACAGGGTATAAAATAAGGTTGAAAATAAGGTCCCACAAGCTGTCGAGGACGAAACTGTTTTTAACTGTTTTCTGATCTCTATTTCTACTTTTCTTTCTTTGTTTCTTTTTTCTCTTTCACATATATGTACGTGTTGTTTGTCTGTTTTAATTGTAAAATTAATAAAGTTTATTTTAAAAAAAGATATAAGACTATATTAGTAAGCTTCCAGCCTGAGAAAATAGTCACAGTATTGATAATACATTGGAAATGGTCAGATATCGCCATTATTAAATTAGTGCCATCTGAGTGAGACAACATTAGTTTAAAACAAAAGTTGCATTTTTTTTCTGTTTGTCTTCTAGGCACAAACTGATTTAAAGATTTTACATCTCCAACTGTTAATCCCCAGTAGATTGTGGAAACTGAATGTAAATCAATATACTGTCTTATATCTGAAGGCATTTTTGGCATTTATCCTTCTTGGAAAAGCTAAATATACATGGGAAGAGAAAACATATATCCTAGACTTTGGAAATTGAGTGTCATAACTTCAGGGGGTTATGGTCATAATTTTAACAATTCACTTTGTATTTTGGCATACACAATATTCAAGATGATACATAAACTGTCATTTTCATATGCTCATCTTCAGGATCATATATTCAATGACCTGTCCTTAATGTCTTTTGTTTCCTACAATATCTTTAAGTCCTTATAACTTCCATGCAGGAAGATCAAAAGAAACACCAAGCTATGGATAATGATTCTGTTAGTATACAGTGCCCATATTTCTTCCCTTTCACTGTGAACTATTCATTTGTCAGCTTAGCAGGAAGATAAGAAAATCTGTGATTTCTACTTGGTTTCTCTTTGCTGAAAAGGGGGGGTGGGGTGGGAAATACATTGCATAGAATGTGTTTCCCACCCAACTTTCTCTAACTCCATTAAGTTGCTTTGCTTCTCATTCCTGGTCACTTACGGGGTTACTAGAAAATATACTGTATGTATTTCTGTTTATTTGTTCCTAAGATATCATGTCACAATGACCTCACCTCATACAATGAGTTATATTTATTAGAGTGTAAAGCACCTAGACCACTTGCATTTAACCAGGTGTAAGCATAAACTTGGCAACATATATTTTCTGCCATGTTCCCATGACATTGCCTTCATAATATTCCCAGGCCATGAGTGAGTTAGCCTTAATTCATTTTTGGTGAATTGGTACTGATACTAAAGTAATGTTTCCCCCTTATTTTGACATATTCACAAGGTCAAGTTCACAGTGCATAAATCTATTAGATTTCAGCATGTGTTACCTTGCAGACAATTCAGAGACATTAGTGACAGAATAGGGAATATCAATGAAGCAGTATAAATGCCAGTATAGCTTCACTGAGCCAGTTTTTTCTCTAGTATCGGCACTATAGTTACTGGCAAAATGATGGCTTGTATCAATTCTCCTTTGTTTTTTTGAGGTTGATGGGTAACTGCACATACCTACATTTTACTGTTGGCATCTTTCCTCCTTGGTATTTTCTATCTTTACATAGTTGGAAATTGCCACTGAATCCCTGCTGTGTTTATTTCATTCTCCAATATGCTGCAAAGCTGGATGCTTATGAAAAATGCAGCCATTTCCTTCTTTGCTTAGTGATTCCTTGCCTAGTTCCCACATGCTATCTAAAAGCTTAATATATTTATTGAAATTCATTCAAATGTAATTTTCTCAGTCACATCTCAACTGTAACTCCTGAATCTTATTTTCAACTTATTACTGCAGATATAATTTTCAGAGGAGGTGGAGGAAAAGGTAGAAGTTTCTCTCCCCTTGGTAGATAAATAACTCTTCCAATACCATTTAATTCCCTAGAAGGTTTTGGCTATCCTGCCTTTCCAACAATTCATATGCTTATCTCTACAATGATATGAGTGTGGAAAATTGCTTTGAAGCTCAAAATGAAAAAAAAAAAGGCTTTTAGTCTTGATACTTTTCCTCTATCATCTCTTTGCAGGGGGATAAATTCTTACATACTTGGCTCTGCTGAAAAGCATTGGTTTTACTGGTTCTAGAAATAAAGTTGAGCAAAATTATGCATAAGGATAAAAATATCATTGTCTGACACCCTGAATTTCTCTTCATAACACCACAGAAGAAGCTGCAAGCTGAAGACAGATTCTGGAAAGGTATGGAGTTTAACGCATTTGTAGAATTAATACGTATGCATGTATAGTTTCCAGTTTCAAATTCAAAGCTTAGAGATATTTATATTAAACAGTGTAGCCAAATAATACACAAGAGAAACAAGGAGGCCAATTATTCTTATCAACCCTAATGTTTACAACAACAAACCAGAAAATCTTTAAGGATACAATACCAAGTTATCTACATCTGTTGCAGTTTTTTTCTAGAAAAAAGCTAGAAATTGGCTGAGACAGATCACATAAGATGTGGTCACAACAGTAATGACATGTTGTAAGTAAAATTAATTAAAACCAAATCAACAAATGGAACATATTTAATATGGGAATGTTTATGAATTTAATAATTTGACCACAACTCTAGCTTTTTGATCTACGTTTTACATGTAGCCAGAAAACTTTGCTATGTATCTCTGGATTATATTAACTACATGGCATAGATTGACATCCATGTTCTCATGTTACACTAAATACACATGAGAACATACACATGCCTCTTTCAAAACATAACTATGTGAAGCAAATTAGCAAACAAAAGAAATAGTTGAAGGAAAAGATTTAACTCTTTTGTATTCATATCTACAGGTGGCTTTGAGCTAGACTCTTCATTTCATATGTGTATATATAAATAGATTAAAAATAAAAGTAAGATGAATTATGCAAAATTTCAAGGCTGATCCAAGACCTGTCTCTGTCTGAAGTAGAGCAGAAAATGCCACTATACACGAATCCTCTTCATCAGTAATATTATTTTAACTCTTGAAGCAGAACACTGAAGTCCAATCATTTCTAAACTGTTGACCCACTTACCCCTTTCATGATGTTGCACAATGTCATTATACTCTTCTCCATCACCCCCTCCCCCCAAAAAACCCTACGGAAGTTTTCCCAGGTGCCAGTCCCAAATTGATCCTTGACACAAACAAACAAAAATAACAAATTGCACCATTAGCCCCAGGATAATCCCAGATTACCTTCCTTGGAGTAATCAACCTGAGTTTAACAACTAGTGATCTAGAAGGATCTTCACCATTGTGAAAAATATAATAATAAAAGTAAATCAACTGCTGATAATATTCTACCTTCTAACAACACCAAAAACAGTTATCTGATTCTCTTTCTTCCTGCACAATGAACCACACTGAAAGAAAAATAATCTACCTCGAAAACCCATGCTTGCCTACAGTTATTTGGACATATCATAGTTTTTCTAGCCAGTTGTCAATACTAGCTTTAGATTTTGGTTGAACCAATAAGTGATATTTATTTATTTAGAAGGAGCCTATTAACTTGAAACATATGTGTGGGATAACTTTGTTAGTTTTGAACTTTGCTTTTTCTGGCAGACAACTTTGTCTGTCAGATTCAATGCTAGTTGTCAGATTCAATGCTAGTTAAAAATGTATATTAGCATCATTTATACCTCATACTTCAACAATGGAACAGATGCAAACATTAAACAAAGCAAAGCAAAAAAAAACCAGACCACACAGCATGGCTAGAGTGAAAGGAAAATTAGACCCAATACATAAAAGGAAACTTAACCAAAACAGAGCTGTACAATTAACTTAAGTGGACCAGTTAAATCTATATGCAAAATTAAATTAAATTAAATACAACACAGATGTAAAATATACACAATTTCATTGCTGAAATTATTTGACCATTTGGAATTAGGTTGTTATTTACAATCAAAATAATGCACTTCTTTCCTTTTTAATTATACAGGAGAATGAATTATCCAAGTCTGAAAATTAAAAAAAAATCTAGGCTTCCAGAAATTTGACAACTCTTTATTATAAGAATTGAAACATTGCAACAAGATTTTAGATCATTAATTATTAAAATTTCCTTTTGGATAAAGTTTCAATTGATTCAATTTTGTATCATAACATTAAACGCTTGTGGAGAAACCCATGGAAAATGGCATCCTTACCTTTTGAGTATTTATACACTTGTGATAGAAATACTGTACGTTGACACAAATGGTGTCAGCTGCTTATATGTAGGAAAACATGCTTGCCATGGGAGTACAAAAATAAAATTTATTTGTTAAATTATGCATAAATATAAGATACAAATGTATTTTTAAAATACAGTTAAAGATAATCACACTTGCATTGTGTACATATGAAAATACAGTATTTTAGGATTCAACATACACAGACACATTTATGATAAATGTAACTAATTGGCAATGCCAGTTCTTTTCATTATGGATTCTCATCTCTTCATTTTCCAAAAATATGGAAAATTAAGATGCTATGAAATAAGACACTCTAGTTCTGCCGGACATCATGTAGCAGCTTGTTAATTTCTGCCACCAGTTCACTAGCATCCATGAGTTCGTGTTTACCATCACTGAGGTGGTTAAGCACATTGTCAAACTCATCTTCTTCATAGTTCTCTGGAATTTCCTCCATGGCAGGTAGCCATTTTGAAGAGGGCTGGGCACCTGAATGAGTTCCCAAAGTAAGCCCAGTGCTGTTTGCAGGGTTTTGAAAATGAGTACTGGCTGCCCAGGCTGCCACCCCTTGTGGATAGCTTACAGTCTTGGCTGGCAAATGTCCTTTCCTGCGTTCTAGTGAGTTGGGAGGCTCTATTTCATTACACTCTGTGTAAGCATCCAAAGAAGGAGGCAAGAGACGTTGAAAGACGCTGTTCATTTCAGAGAGGAGAGATGAGGTACATATGTCAGCTGCTTCTTCCATATTCTGATTGTCTTTGCCAAAAGTTGAAAAGCTCTTCTTCTTTTCAGATGATTCAACCTCCTGATGATCCTCCTCCTCTTGTGGTGGCTGGTTTTGCTGAGGCTGAAATTCTTCTCCTGGTATAAACATATTGCTTCTATAGTCAGAAGATGGGGAAGGCAGGGGTGGCATCCAGCACTGGTCAGAATGCCCAAGGACTCTGCATTCCTCTGTGCATAATCTCATTGCTGAAAGCAAAGTGAAACCAGATGTTAAAAATCTGAAAGATTTCGGGCCCAGTTCAAGATGTTACTCTTGACTGTTTAAAACCTTAATTTTAAAAATAGTTTGAACAAACATACATATATTTTCTGCTCAAAAAACACATTTAATAAATCAGCGCTTTGGTCTCTTTCACTGAATCTTAGAATAGTAATGCTTAATTTTGTCAAGTTTGGCCTTTTAATGACATTCTGAATGGCATTATACTCCAAAGAACTATATGAAGGTAAGAACAAAAGCTAAATTTCATTTAATTTCCCTTTAAAATGAAATAAAGTATACATCCAGTCTAATCGTGGTTTAATTATTTATTTGATTATATTTAGAATTTTAAAGTAGTAAAATATTGGTTCATGTTTGTGTTACTTTGATACTATAGTTATATGAAATGTTACTAACTGGCCTGTTTATATCTTATTTCAAATATTTTTCTCATAACTTTTGCTGAAACTATCGTTTTGCTAGTCAGAAAAGAATAGAACAGCCTAATTATAAAGACTGTCCTAATTTTGAGCATACGTCAAACTAGAGTTTTTGATCAACTTCAAAAATCTAAGTTGTCCATTTTTTTCTTAAATAATGGCAATAAGAGAGCAATGTGACATCAACTCCTGTCATTAATTTTCATAAATCACTTTGTTGCATTCCATTTTGCTCTATATATTTTAATATAGACAAATAGCTTCTATTTAGATTCTAGATCTACAGAATCTAGAACTCCATATATCAGATATTACTCATTTAATTTCAGAATATGTACTTGAATTTCTTATAATTGCTATATTTTAAACCATGGTGGTGCAGTGGTTAGAATGCAGTATTAGAGGCTTATTCAGCCAACTGTGATTGGTTTGATCCTGACCACCTCAAGACTGACTCAGCCTTCTATCCTTCTGAGGTATGTAAAATGAAGACCCAAATATTTGGAGGCAATATGCTGACTCTGTAACTTTGAAATGGTATATACTGTAAGTGCTTTTGTTATTGCTATTATTCTTGTTATAGACTTTTATAGAAAAAAATTTAAATGGATGTGTTTTAGAATTTATTGATAAACTTCAAAGCATCTTTGTTTGGTAAATATATATTGTACTCTGCAAGGTAGAAATCCCTTCTCCATTTCTTCCTGTGAGAACAAACCTGCAATGGAAATTTAGTTGAGAGAAGCTTAGCCCAAAGTCATGGCTAAGAATGTATTTGACAGTGCATTTACCCATCATAATTCAAGATGTTGACTATTATACTGCACCATACTTGCTCTTATATATATAAATAATTTGGGATTATAACCAAATATTTGTATTTGACAACTATGCAAAACACCAGCAGCCTGAAAGGATAAAAGTAGATAGTCTTTGAACAAATTATATTAATGATATAATGTGATATTAATATATTAATTTAGTTAAGCACTCAAATCTTTGCATTTTTTCTACTGTAATTAAACAGAGATTTGCTTTATGAACTCCAATGCATGATTCTGGTTATACCTATCATGATGCACAGTGAGGGCCAGTGATTTGAATGATTTGAAAAGGGGTTGGGTAGATGTATGGAAGATAGGTCCATCATGTGTATCAGTATTTAAGATTTATCATTATCTCTGGAATGGAAGCAGTATTCCCCATGCAGTTGCAGGAGAACAATAGTAGAAAAGCTGCATGTATCTATCTCCTGCTTGTGAGCACCTGGCTTGTGAAGCAGATGCTGTACTAAGGTAGACCTTGGTATGAACCAGAAAGCCTATAATGATGACCTTATGCCCTCACATTTGGAAAACTAACATTTGGAGAAAAATATGATTTTAGTAAGAATACAAATAGCTACACTAACAATAGGCTTTATCACTAGATTTAAACATCTGCAAGATGAAACAAAAACACAGCAATCAGACACGGTTCCCTTATAAGTATCAAGATCTTAGTTGGATGTTATATTTTACACCTGAATACCAAAATATTTAGTGTTCTTAAAATATACAGAAAAAATTATCATGCTATAACCCTGTATACATCTGTAATCTTTAATATGGAGTCCATGGACCAATACATTCATAAGCAATCCACTTGTTACCCATCCAACTTAGTAACAATAACTAATTAACCAACCCATGTCTAATTTAAAACAGGATCTTTAATCTATAAAAACTGGTTTATACTTACTATGAGAACAAAGTAAGATTTCCATTGTAAAGTTTACAGCTCTAATGGTGGTTTCTTTTACAACTGAGATATTATTTTGCAACCCATTGTTTTTTATTTGGTCTCAAATTGTCATAGGTATGTTTGATTTGTCATGGTATCATCAAAGTGACAAGGATGTTCACACCATGGGGCAAGGCATTTGAGAAGTACTTAACTCTCCAAACTCTAACTTCCCCCCAAAATCCAATTATTTTGGCCACATCCAGTAAACAAACATCATAAAATGTGCCAAGATCAGAGAAGGATGCCAGAAAGTCAAGCATAGACATAGACTTGTGATTTAACAGTAGTATGATTAACAGTGTTGTAGTCCAAGCATTATAGTAAACTACTTTCCATTAACATTAACATCAAACAATATCTATTTGCCATTAACATTTGATGTCTTCTTACAATTTAGGGGATTCAATTCACTTTAGCGAAAATTTAGAGACCATTTATAGGATAGAACTGTATTCCAGAGAGTTGTGAGTATGACGGTTTAGACAATTTTTTAAGCCTTTATATCGCAAATATGTATTGCTTTTAAAACCTCGAGCAAGTTCTAGGTGTTGTCCAGTATAGGAGTAAAAAGAAGATAAAAGAGTTTATTTTTCACCAGTACAAATTTGTCTTTGTATCATTGTCTGAGAATGCTGAAAATAGGCTGTTTAATTTTCACTGAATCTTTACCTGCAGGAATTCTCCCATCTGTAAGGAAAAGGTCACTGAATCCTTCTCCAAGAAGTCTGTCAATAGGAGAATCTCTCCCTAAATCATAATCACTGTCTCCTGCTTCACTGTCACCACGACCACTATCTTTCAGGCTGAACTTATCCATATCTTGAAGGGCATATCTGTGATAAAACAAAAGAGAGATGTGGGTTGAACTGGGCTTCTTTAGCTCATGAGCTAAGCCTATATACCCTCTGATAATGTTACTCTGGACTTTGACCAAAGAAAATCCTTACCTGTAACTTCTGGAATACTTGTTGCCTCGAAAACTTGGCCTTGGTTGATATTGGCCTTGATGAAGCATGGAGAGCAGCTGAGACACCTGTTATGAAACACACAACAGCAGGAAAAAATTAATCCTTACAACTGCCCAAGAAAATCTATCCATATAACTGCCCAAGAAAATCTATGTATATTTATGTCCTTCTTTTTTTAAACCATAAACCAGGACTGTCAAACTCAGTTTCATTAATGACCACATAAGGGTTGTGTTTGACCTCGGGCGGGGTGGGGTGTCTGGCCAGGGTGGGCATGGCCAGCTAGACAACACTCATATCAGGGGGGCCTGTGGTAGCCTCAGTGTTCTGCCAGAGAAAACAGGCTCCCAAGCTCCGTTTTTGGCTGCAACAGCCTCCTGCAACCCTCTGCCAGGAAAAACAGAGCTCAGGAGCTCATTTTCTCTGGCAGAGCACTCGGGACACTACAGGCACCCCATACATGAGTGACATCGAGCTGGCCATACTCACCCTCCCGAGCTCCGTTTTCACTGACAGAGGGTTGCAGGAGGCTGTTGGAGCCGAAAATGTAGCTCATTTTCACTGGCAAAGGCACTGCAGGCCAGTCCTTCACTGTTTCCAGGACAGCCTCGCGGTCTAGATCTAAGCACCCTGTGGGCCAGATCTGACCCCTGGTCTTGAGTTTGACACCCCTGCCATAAAGTGTCTGTTAAAATAATCTGCCAGAAGAAAGAAACAGAATTTAGTCCAATATAAAAGACAGTTATAAACATCTTAGTGTATTAGATATACTTTAGCCTTGTAACTTAGCCTCATGATCCAAAGCATATAAAAAGCTTAATTCTGAACCTTAAGCTAGTTAAATTCAAGTGTTTGGCTCTAAATAGTTTTAATTCTACTGAAGTCAGTGAAAAATTAGCTATTTAACTGCTCTGAGCTCAAAGGCCTTAAACACATTCATTAAAAATTTGCATGTACAGTTGACACAAGCTGTTAGAACAGATGTAGTTAAAACTTCATTAGTGTTAGTAATATATTTCTTCATTCTTTTGTCCCCTTTAAATATGCAAATACATTATAAGTATATTGAAATACTGAAGCATAGAACAACATGTGATTTTTACATCCTGGAAGGATTTCTAAGAACTAATTTTAAAATATATTAGTCCTTTCTAGACTAATATTACTGGTAGGCTATTAAAATTCCGTTAATATCGTATCAATATTAACTAAATGTTAACCAATTTAGTTAATATTGCACCAATTACTACAATTTAGGGTAATATAGATTGCAAAACTCTGGATCACCAGTAGGTACAATGAAATGATATACTTTGTTCCCATCAAGTGATCATCTGGGATTTGGAAAGCAAGAGTACCAAGATCTAGCCAGCCTATTATTCATGGTTTTGTGATTTGTACAGAAACTAAAATCACATTCAGAGCTGGAATTCCATAATTTGGTTATATTTTTTTACCCATGGTATAATAAGAAATGAAAATATCATCCAATACATACTGTGTACATATAGAGAGGGGGAGGTACTTGGGAAACTGCAACATATTTTCCTAGTGAATTTCTGGATATGTATAAACATATCATAAATATAGGTGTGTACAGTCATCATATATAATAACTGAAATGAAACATTGAAAATTATTGTACTAAATAGACATAGGATTTACTTATTTAGGTGAATTTTTATTTAATGCAATGTATGATCTTACCTCAACAGCAGGAGTAGCATGAGTGAGCTCAAGAGAGAAATTCTCTGGTACATGATTTGATGAGATGGTCACCAGACTATTTAAAGACTGGTGACTGTGATGGCTTTGTCGACTGCTCATTTGCCCTCTTTCTAGTGTTGGAGATGATGAAGGTGAAGCTTTGTGGTGGGATCTGATTGGTAAAGTACCATTAATGGTAGGCACTAATGTAATATCCCCTTTGTGAATCTGTCTTGATGGCCTTTTGGGATGATGCTGGTATGTGGATTCTGCAACACGACAATTATAAGACCGGGTGTCTTTCTTCTCACGATTACACATTGTAGCAAAGACTACCATGACCACCAACAAAACTGCACATATTGCTCCTAAGGATATTATTGTGATCATGGAAATATCTAGAGGAGGTTGGCTTGGGTATGTGGCTTCTGTAGATGAAAGTTGATAGATATTTTTAACAACACTGCATTTCAGAAGTGCTTTGGTACTCAGTTGAGGACTTCCTTTGTCCCTAACAACCACAGTAAGTTCCCATTCTGTTGATGTAACAGATTCAATACTAGCATTAAGATAAATGTCACATGTCTGTGGATCCATCACAAAGAGGCCTTCTTCACTGCTAGTTGCTAATGCGCAGCTTAGCTCTGCATTAACCCCTGAGTCTCTATCTGTGGCTCTTATCCTAGTGATGCAATGGTTACTGTCAGCTTCTTTAGGGATTGAAATCTCTGCTGTATTGTTGTGCAGTGCAGGCCCCACAATCAAAGGAGCATTATCATTTTCATCAATAATAGTTAGTACCACTGTTGTATTGCTAGCTAACTGTTGACTTCCTCCATCTCTAGCTTGAACCATAAAGATTATCAGGCTTACTTCCTCATGATCAAAAGTCCTAAGTGCATAGATGGCTCCATTAGAGGGATCAATGGTCACATATGTTGTTATGGAACTTCCCAAAATAAAACTTTCCAAGATAGTGTAAGTCACCTGCCCATTATCTCCCAGATCTGGATCAGTTGCTGTAACAGAGGTGATATATGCACCTGGAGAATTATTTTCCAAAATTACAATTTCATATCTATTTGTCTGAAATTGGGGTGAGTTGTCATTTTCATCAATGATCTGGACAGTAAAATGTTTCACTGTAGAAAGACTTGGAGTTCCTTTGTCTTCTGCTATGACTGTCAGGCTATATTCAGATCGCTTTTCTCGATCCAAAGTAGTATTTGTTAGGATGAAATAGTTATTCTCATACGTCTTCTGAAGTTTGAAATGCCCATGTCCATGAAGCTTGCAAACCACTTCTCCATTCAGTCCAGAATCTTTGTCTTGCACTCTAACAAGGGCCACAAAAGTCTCTGTGGATGCTTTTTCAGAAATATAAGCGATTTCTTCTTTTCCTGGAGACATCAGGTTTAAATTGATTTCAGGTTTGTTGTCATTCACATCAACAACCTTAATAATGATTTTGCAGTGAGCTGGAATTGAATTTGGACCCAAATCTTGTGCCTGAGCATCAATTTCATAGGATTTGGAGGTCTCATAATCCACTGGTTTGAGAAGAGTTAGTTGACCCCTTTCAGAGTCCATTTTAAAAGTCTCTATAATTTTGGGGGACACGTGACTACTAAAGGAGTAGACAACTTTGCCATTGGCACCTTCATCTGGATCAGTGGCATTGAGATCTATAAGTAATGTGCCAACATGTGAATTTTCCAAAAGCTGAATTATGTATGTCTGTTGTTCAAAAAGTGGACTATTGTCATTAGAATCTGAAATGCTGATTTTCAGGAGAGATGATCCACTTCTCTGAGGTACACCATTATCAGAGGCAGTTAGTTGTAGTTCATAGCTTGATTTCAGCTCCCGGTCCAGTTCCCGCACCACAATCAACTCTGCATATTTGGCTCCATCTGTCCTTGTTCTAACTTCGATGGTAAAGAAATCATTGGCCGAAAGGGAGTATGTGTAGAGGGAATTGTCCCCAACATCTGGATCAAAAGCACTATCCAAAGGAATCCGCGTACCTACGGCTGCACTCTCCGAGATTTCAAGAGGAATAAGAGCTCTGGAGAATTGAGGCGAATTGTCATTAATATCCAACACTTCAACCTCCACATGGAAAAGCTGCAGATGTTCAGTCGGCAGAGTGATCACGTCAAACTCTATGGAACAGTTTAAGTTTTTCTGGCAGAGTTGCTCCCGGTCAATTTTAGCTCCAATGCTGATCTCTCCGTTGTCTTCCCGAACCAGCAGCAACGGAGAATTCCCCCTCTGCATGGCTCTGAACCGCACCGAAGAAGGATTAGGCAGCCTATACAAAACATCGGCGACATCTTCGGAAAGTCTAGCAATGACCGAGCCAACCCTCTGCTCCTCATAAATCCTGTATTTCAGATTTTTGCCCGCTGCGCCTTCCCAGCAGGACAGGACGGTTGTCAGTGCAAAGAGAAGCCTAAAGTGCATTTTTCGACCCAAACGCGGCATCGGCATAGGCTCCCGAGGGGTCTTTCTGCCAAACAAGTTACAAAGCAATTCGCTTAACTTAATCTCGACCCTTCAAACCCAACGTCCATTTGGTTCTTTGGAAATTGGGAGGAATGAGGGGAGAAAAAGGAGAGAGAAAAAAACAAAACGCGCTTGCAAACCTTCCTTCTGAAACGGATGCCACGTCCCAGCCGTTCAGGAAAAAGTTGCCTACAGCGAGACCGAGGCGGCGGAGCTCCCACTATACATCCCGTAGGCAAGCCGGCTCGGATTCCTCCGCTTCTTCTCGTCCAAGAGCTTTGCACATCAAGGCTTCTTCCTTCCGCTGCAGCTATTATTCACCCAGTGCCGAGGGAAAGGAGCCGAGGCTGCACGGCGGCGGCGGCGGCGGCGGCGGCGCGGTTTCTTCCCGAAGAGACCCCTCTTAACGCCCTCTCTCCTCAGCTTCTGACGACTAAGATTGCTGACTCCCGTCTAAAAAAAATCGTTGGAACTTCACTTCAACTCAGACAAAGCTTTTGCCCGGCTGGATGTGTTGAATCGCTTCCAGCCAATCAGCTTGCTTCCAAATCAAAGGACAGTGAAGTCACACATGCTCATAGACCCCCCAAAAAAGAGGGAGGAGGGAGGTGGGAGCGGCTTCCACCCTCCTCTCTCCCTCACCTCCCACTACCACAAAAGGAAACAAATTGCTGAAGAATGTCTTAAAATCAAACTTCATGTTCTCCCATTTTTACGAAGATTTCGGTTGGGGTGAGCTTCTTTCTTTGTCATTTGAACGAGAGCTTTCATTAATATCCTGGCATATTCAGGTTTTGGTTAAAAGGCAAACCAAGCCTCCAAAGGAATAAGGAGTAAGTTTGCTTCATCAAGAATTTGTCCTCCCTCCCTTTGGCCGCTTTCAAGAAATTGATCCTTTTGATATTTTACTTAAAATGTTTTGCCAACAAGAGAATTTGGTTTTTAATCTTATGCTTCCCTTCATTTTACTGTCAAGAAAAATCCATTTGTGGTTTTCTTCTTTTCTTGGTTTCAGAAAAAGGCTATATAGCTTTGACATTGTTGGGCTCTTGGCCCTATGAGCTTGGATTCTTCCTTTTATAGCTTGGTAATGAAATGCCTGCAAAAGAAAACCAAGAGCCTAGCCCTTAGCTTCACACATTCTTTTCTATCTGACAATGTTTTGTAGGTATGTTATCTTCCACAAAAGCCTTTTCTTTCTTCTTACTATAAAACAGACTTCACAACTTCAGAAGCCTCTTTGTTTTAAAAGCAGCCTTTGTCTTTGACATGATGAGGCATGCTAAAACATTTGGCCCATGTGTGAAATCAGTTTAAAATATCTTTGGGATAGGATATTAGAAAAACAGGCCAGCATTTTCCAAAGGAGAATTTATTTTATTTTGTTTTATTATTTTATTCATGTATTTGCTAGAATTATAGGCTGCTTTTTCTTCAGGAACTCCATATGGTGTTCATAGCACTCCCCCTGGTCATTTTCCCCCTACAACACAACACTCTGAGGCAGGGGTCCCCAACCACCGGTCCGCGGACCGGTCCCGGTCCGTGGAACAAGTCCTACCGGGCCGCTGGTTTGCTGGGCGCCGCCATCTTTTTTTGATGAAAAAGTGCTTCCGGTGAGCTTTTCCGGGTAGAAAGCTCACCGGAAGCAC